TATATTGAATCATTTTATGACGAAAAAATTTTGAATATTTTGAATACTATTTGAAACTGAAAAATTATTGAAAATCTAAAAACTCTTGAAATATATATTTCCTGTTATAAGACTTTACATTTTCTTATCTGAAATGGCCTCTTCTTTTATGCAGACACAGATAACGAATTTTTAAGAATTATGATTGCTTTAACGTACATATTCGTGTGCAGCCTCAAGAAAATTTTTTCCTTACATTTTCAAAGGTTTCAAATCTTTGCGACTTAAAAATTTTTCAAAAATTTTTAGTTTAGTTTTAAATAATTTATATAACTAAAATGTTTTAAAATTTAAAACAAGGGTTTAATCTATCATTAGTATTAATCTCTTCCCTCCCTGAAAAAAATAAAGACGTCGCTCAATGTGTATTATATCAAGAAAAAAATGAAGAGAATATTTGTCTGTTTCATGTTGTAGACGCAGATATGGGCATGGGAGCAGGAGCAGCGGGTGGTCCTGTCCTGGCTCTTCCTGGTCCAGGAGTCAATGCCGCCCTTTCACAAACATGCGCCATATGTAGCGATCGTGCCACAGGAAAGCATTATGGCGCTGCATCTTGCGATGGCTGTAAGGGTTTCTTCCGCCGATCTGTCAGAAAAAATCATCAGTACACATGCAGGTATGCTTGTATTATAATATTTTAGCGATAAATCGATATTATCCGACACATATTTTAATAATCTTGAGTTGCAAAGCAAGTGTGATGTAATGAAGCTTGATTTCTTCAAGGAAATATCCTTTTTTTTTTAATACAGATTTCAAAGGAAGTGCCCGATTGACAGGGACAAGCGAAATCAATGTAGGTACTGTCGATTACGGAAATGCTTCAGAGCCGGTATGAAGAAAGAGGGTGAGTTTAGTTTTGCGAAGTCGTTTGTCGCACACTATGAAATTTTGTTTTCAAAAGGCATGGTATGCTTGTTGGATATTTAAGGACATCAATTTTGTCCAAAATTGTTTTAAAACTATTTTCAACAAAATGGCGACCATTTAGGTTATGAAATTTTTGTTGAAGATCTAATCATGACTTTAGAACATTATTTAAGATTAAAATAAGATCAAAATCATTTGTTTTAAATGTCTAGAAATCAAGAGGAATCATGTCAATCACAAAGTTTATTAAGATTTTTATTGTATTATATCTCAACTAGAGATTAATATTTTTAACTTTTTTTTTAATATTATTTAAAATGTAAATTTTTAATTCGTACCAAATTAAATTGTTAAAGTAAATTATTAGCAGCAATTGCATGCTAAAGACAACTTATTTTTCAACCCGTCACTCAGGTGTCTCCTTTCTTACTTAATATATGTGAGAAAGAACATTTAATTTTCAAATTTTTTTTTGTACGGAACTAACTTTATTTTTCTGCTCGAGTAGGAAGTTTATGTTAAAAATTCCTGATAATTTTCACAGCCGTACAAAACGAAAGGGACCGGATAAGTTGTCGGCGACCTAGTAACGAAGATCCGCCTGATAAGAATAAGGGTCCGTCGAAAGAAGACGTGGTAAAGGCGGATGCACGCGCCGAAATGCTCAGCAAGCATGTTGGCGGGTTAGAGGTGAGTGACTTGACCTCTGGTCAAATTAAATATTTATATATTGCCATTCGTTAAAATACGCATAAAAATTCGGCGCATTGTTTAATCGTTGATGATGAATTATTGTTCATTTTCATGAATATTATGCGTTTAGCAATTCTTGTTATCATTCTTCAAATGAGCGTTATAAAATTTTTTGAATTCTTAAATTCGACGACGATCGAATATACTTCATTTCTTATTTTGAAAATGAAACAGCATTTCATAATAAAATGAAGGTATCATGTTTACAAGCTTACAGTTAAATACGTTTACCCAAAGAATGTAATTTTTTAAACATTCTTTTTTAACGCTTAAAATTAACGTTGTAAATTATTTATTATGATTAATTATTATTAGATAAAAAAAAAAGTAATATTTTTCCGTTTTTTTTTTACGTTAAAGTATTATTCACTCACCACTACTATGATTATGACGTCAGAAACGAGAAAATGCACAATAAAAATTGCAAAATATTGCATTAATATGGAAATATGTTAATAAAACAATATTTTCAATTCATATAGCTTCAACAGCCAGACAGTCCGAACGGCGAAATTGATCTCAGCACGAAACGAATAGCTGGGATAAACGACGTGTGCGACAGCATGAGGGAACAATTATTGATCCTGATCGAGTGGGCCAAGTGCTTCGACGAATTCAAAGCGCTGTCACTGGATGATCAAGTAGCGTTGCTGAGGGCCCACGCGGGCGAGCACCTGTTGCTGGGGGTGGCTAGGCGTAGTAGAAACTTCACGGACGTGCTACTTCTCGGCAACGATTGCATCATTATGAGAAATTGTCCTGGTATGCAGAGTTTACAGATTTATTATGGGGTGTCACGGTTTTTATTGTTCTTAAAATTTTTTCTTCTCCGAGCAGAGCGAGCAGTGTCGAGCGAAAATTCCAACGCGTGTATACCTGATAAAAACCTGACAAAATATGTGTACCTGAGAAATATCTTAAGTACGTGTTTTTGAAAAGAGAAGGCGACTCGTCGAATGAGGCTCCTTAAGTGATCTTTAAATGCTCAATATTATTGTACAATTATTTTGTACAATATTATTAATGCCCTCTTTGAATGTTTCAAAACAAACAGTCTGGAGGCACAATAAAGCTTTCAGTCATTCAATAATATTGTAAAATATTAAATATTGTACAATAATATTGATGCTTTAGGAGCCGCTTACCAGAAGTCCACCTCTTAATCTCGGTTTGTCAAGACATATGAATGCATATTGACAAAGTTTCATAAGTTCGACATCAACCTACGCTCCGTTCAGGCTTATTGCTAATATTTATATGATATGTTTTGGCTTCGCTAAATAATGATATTAAATATATAACAACGGAATATGCGCATATAGACGAAATGGGGAATATGCTTAAAAATTTTCTGAGATTAATAATGCTCCTTTTTGGATTAAAGTAAGTAGTTAAATACGAGAAGTGAATATTAAGCAAATCTTCATCAGTTTTTTCTGGCGTGCGTTACGTAAACGAATCCATCGTGTCTCCCTTTATGCATACCATTTGCAAAATACAGAAATTAATATAAATACAAAACATTCAAACAAGAAATAATAAATAGAAAGAGAATGATTTTATAAGTCTACTGCAATGGGAAGGAAATCTTCATTTAAGATTTTTGTTTTTTCATTGCAGCTAAATTGAAGAATTACATTTTGTAAGTTAAAATAGATTATTTTTTTCAGTAAAATGCACCGTAAATTTTTCTTATTAAGTCATATATATTAAATCAAAATAAATGGATGAAACAAAGAATTTGCTTTTTGTTCTTTTTAATAAGCAAGATTTTGATAAGCAAGATTTGAAAAAATTAATCTTTATTGTATATATATATAT